CAGGTCTTGATGGTTAGCAGAGAGCAAAGTCAAGATGGCCACTGGTGTGCTATGACTGGGAGGACACTGGCACCTTTGAAGGAAACAGGGGCGGACGCTGGGGAGTGGGTGAGGGGAAGTGCTTTTTGACACTGTGGGTCACTGTGTTAGTCTACAGTTTCATTACTAGTGACTGGCAACTGACTCAAATGATTTCGGCTACAAAAAGAATTTGTTGCCTCACATAATTGACAAGTCCTGGATTAAAGTTTTAGGCAGATCTGGATCTGGACGCTCAAGGGAGGTCATCAAGAGTCTTGTTCTTCTTGCCCAAGAAGGATAGAAGTGGCCACAAGCAGCTCCAGGCTCACATTCGACCAGCTGAGCAGAGGTCCTGGGGTGGCTATATTGGCCTGGAGTTGGGCACTGTGCCCAGGATGAATAATTGCTATGACTGATGAACAGGCTAAGGTCATATGTGCTCCCCCAGAGCCCTACCTAAAGTGGAGGGAATGGTTCTCAAGGGAAAACTGGGGGTCTATCTACAGAGGGGGGCTGAAGCTGAACAGCAAAAACAGTAAGTGCCCTCTACACTCCACGTCTGAACAAGATTGACACAGATCCCCCTACTTGTACAATTTTTTTTTAATGTTTCTGTTTATCATAATGCAACTATCCCTCACAAAGCGTCAAACACACTTGTCCCATCTCCAGAAGGAGACGTTCCACATCCACTTACCACATCTAGACCCACTTCAAGACCTTAGTGATGGGCTGTTTGGTGAGGTACTGAGCTAGCCACTCATGGCCTTTTAATTTATGGCCAGACTATGATGGAAGAAAGATCGGATAGCTGAAAGAACAAAACCCTCCCAGCTCAAGACGGGAGATAAAAAATGCTCACAGACCTGTAGCATGGTCCCCATGCTTGCCCAGTTGGCAAGGACGAGGTTCCCTGGCTCATCTAGTTGGCTGCTTTGGTTCATGCTCTGTGCCACACACAAAAGGGGGTCACCTCCCACTGATGCAAGTTTAAGGGGTGAGGAACATTAGGAGCTGAGTAATACCTGGCCTTTGTTTTCTAGGTTTGTGGGGTTTTCTGGCAATACAATCCCCTTAATCATTAGGAAGCTTTCAGTCAGTTTGCATTCAGTTGTCCCCAGAGCCATTAACCAAACCAGAGACCTCACTGGAAGTTGTAATTCTTGAATCAAGTCCCTGGTGATAGTGCTGGGGGAGGAGCAGGGGTTGTCTCTCAGCAACAGCTCTTGGTGCTCTGCCCATCGCAGGAGCCGTGGCTCTGTTGCCTCTAGCTAGGCCTCTGCCGCAGGGCAAGGCAAACCCCTAGTCTAGACTTCATCTGTCCCTTCTCGCTCAAGCAGTATCCCAGTGGAAGGCTCTTTTGATGAAAGCAACAGTAGCCTCTGTCGAGCTGGGGAGGGCACAGCAGGAGGGGTTCTTGGAGAGCCTGAGGAGTCAAGAGCCTGTCAGGGCCCAGGTTTGTCTCTGCCTGTGTTTCCTGCCTCCATGTCTTTGCTTGAGTTGACTTTAGCTAGAAGCAGAGAACTGGCTCTTAATTATCTGACTCTCAGCCATATTGGATTACTGGCCTCAGGCAGAAAGGGCCTCTCTAGGCAAAGCAACATTTTCTTCCTGTCTGCTTTCAGAGGTGGCCCTTTAGCCAGAGTGTGTCTCTTCCTTGTTGGACTTTACTGAGGCCATGGGAATGGCCACACCCCAGTATGGTGACATTTTTCTACAGGTCCCCTAATGTTCCATGTAGGAACATCAGCTGAGCTCCAGAGATAGTGGGTGAGTATAATTAGCTGTTTTGCTGGTGTGTAGCAGGGCTCACCAACTTCTGAGGGGGGAATGTGGTATTATCTTCCCCACTTAGTTCAGCTTATTCTTCCTTAGGTTCTGTTCCTTTATTTTATTTTATTTTTTTAAATGTTTTATTTATTTCTGAGAGAGAGAGAGAGAGACAGCGTGAGCAGGGGAGGGTCAGAGAGAGAGGGAGACACAGAATCTGAAACAGGCTCCAGGCTCTGAGCTGTCAGCACAGAGCCTGACGCGGGGCTTGAACCCATGAACCATGAGATCATGACCTGAACCGAAGTTGGACGCTCAACCAACTGAGCCACCCAGGCGCCCCTAGGGTCTATTCCTTTAAAACATTCAATTTCTCACTCTAATTTCTGGCTTCAGACTTCTCTCTAGTGCAAGTGCCACAGACCCAACTCTAAATGGTCAAGAATAAAAGGGAACTGATTGGCTCACTCAACTGAACAGACCAGAATCTCAAAGAGTATCTGTGAGAAATCTCTGCCCATCTTAGCTCTGCTTCTCTGTATTGGCTTCATTCCCAGGAGGTTCCTCCCCAAAGAGACAAAGATAGCCCTTGCAGCTCTAGACTTCCCCATCAGCTTAGAAACCTGAACCCAAAGAGGATAATTTTCTCCAGAAGTTCCAGAGAAGCCCTGGAGGAACGACTCATTGACTCAACTTGGGCGATCTCTGCCCACCAGGACTTTGTTTGGTCCGGTCGGTATCATTTTCTTACCCATGGAGTCAGGGGTGGACCATCAAGCCCCACTCAGACCACATGAACTGAGAAAGTGGGGAAGGAAGGATGGTTCCCCAAGGTCAAAGCAGAATGATTTTACCAGGAGGACTGGGTTCTGGGCTGGTAGAGGGAACAGAAGGTCACCCATATATCTATGTGGAAATGCCTGAAGGCAAAGGGAACTCAAGAGCAAGTCAGGATAGAGAGGCAGAGCTGAGAGTTACTGGCTTAAAGCTGGGAGTAAATGTTTGGGAGGAAACCAGTCTGCTGGGAAGAGGGTAGATATGAAGGTGGACCTCCCATCAGGAGACAGGAAGATTCAGAAGGCAGTAAGAAGAGGAGGTCAGAGAACCCAAATGGAGCAGCTTCATGGCAGCCTGTAAAGACAGAGTGGTCATTAGTATGAGCCATGGGACCAAGTGGGTGAAGATCCTTGATGACAACTGGATTGATAAGCAGTCATCTGTGACCCAGAGGAGCACAGTGACAGCAAAGGGTGGTTGAAGGCCAGTCGTAGGCAGTTAGAAAGAGGAAAGCAGTGACAAATGGGGTAGAGATTCCAGAAGGCAGGGGTGGTGTGACCAGAAACCAGAGATGAGGAAAGATGGGCAGCAGGACTTGAGTGTGAGCAGAGTTAGGGTGCCAGGAAGGGTGGTGTCTTGTCCTACAAGGGGACTGAAAAGGACAAATATGGTGGCCCTTGGAGTAAAGGGCAGGGTAGGGGCACTTATTGGAGACCAAACCTAGCAAAGAAATTTGAAAAAGGACCTACGTGCCTAGCATGGCAGAGATGGGAGAGTGTGGTACAGAAGCAGGACAGGAACAAACAGGGACACACACACACAGGTATCATCAGGTAAGGTGACAATTTGGTCACTGCAACATGGTACCAAAAGTCTGTCTGATGTATATGGTTTGCATAACATGGAAATAACTCCTTCTTTTAAGGATTTTTTTTATTTTTTTTATTTTTTATTTTATTTCCAGGAGAGAGAGAGAGAGAGAGACAGCGTGAGCAGGGGAGGGTCAGAGAGAGAGGGAGATACAGACTCTGAAACAGGCTCCAGGCTCTGAGCTGGCAGTCAGCACAGAGCCCGACGCGGGGCTCGAACCCACTACGGCGAGATCATGACCTAAGCGAAAGTCGGACGCTTAACCAACTAAGCCACCCAGGCGCCCCTTAAGGATTTTTTAAAGTTTATTTATTTATTTTGAGAGAGAGAGAGAGCAGTGCGGTGCATGAACAGGGGAGAAGCAGAGAGAGAGGGGGAAGGGAGAGAGAATCCCAAGCAGGCTCACTGAGCCCGATGTGGAGTTTGATCTCAAGAACCAGGAGATCGTGACCTGACCGAAATCAGGAGTTGGGATGTTCAACCAACTGAGCCAAGCAGGTGCCTCCAAGATTTTTTTTTTTCAGATGTAACATACATACAGCCAAAAATATATAGTACACTAACCTTAAGTAAACAGCTTGTGGGGCGTCTGGGTGGCTCAGTCGGTTGGGCGGCCAACTTCAGCTCAGGTCATGATCTCACCGTTTGTGGGTTCAAGCCCCGAGTCGGACTCTGTGCTGACAGCTAGCTCAGAGCCTGGAGCCTGCTTCAGATTATGTGTCTCCCTCTCTCTCTGGCCCTCTCCTGCTCACACTCTCTCTCTCTCAGAAATAAATAAAAAACATTAAAAATTGTTTAAAAAGTATACAGCTTGATTGTTTATGTATACATGTACTCACATGTATAACCACCACTCATATCAAGATCCAGAGCATGAATTTTCAGCATCACATATGCTTCCCTCCTGCCCCTTCTTAGTTTATTGTCCCCAGGGGTAATTTCTATTCTGACTTCTGTCATGATCAATTTAGTCTGTTCTTGAACTCGGTATGTATGGAATCCTCCAGTATGCGCGCTGTTCTGGCTTCTTTCATGAAACATAGTATTGAATGGATTCACCCATGTTGTTGTACGTACCAGTGCTTCCTTTTATTACTGCTAGATAAAATTCCATTGTGAATATATTACAATCTATCCATTCTCCTGTGATGGGCATTTGGGTTGTTTAGGTTGGAATATAGCTTGGAAGTATTATACATAAAATTAATGTCTGCCCCCCCCGTCCCCTTCTTAAAGAATCCACATTCTTTCTCTCATACACGTACAGGTCCTCCCACGAGTACCAGAGCAGGCCAGCCCCCTCCCGGAGGTCAAGCCATTGGTATCCCCTCAACCCTCCGTTATGGGCACGTGTTTCCTGGGGAAGTAAATTTCCTCACGGGTGGGGGATACCGCCTTCCTAAGGCTTACTCCCTCTCTTCTAGCCTCCTCGCCCCTGGCCGCGGGCGCTCTCAGCCTTCCTGACCCCGCAGGGGGGGCTCGCCCGCGGGCCCCCATGAGCGCGCCCGGCTGACCGGCGGGGCGGCGCGGTGGAGCCCAGGGGCCGCGGGGGCGGCGGGGCCATGGCCTCGCTGGACCTGCCGTACCGCTGCCCCCGCTGCGGGGAGCACAAGCGCTTCCGGAGCCTGTCGTCGCTGCGCGCGCACCTGGAGTACAGCCACACGTACGAGACGCTCTACATCCTCTCCAAGACCAACAGCATCTGCGACGGCGCCGCGGCCGCCGCCGCCGCCGCGGCCGCCGCCTCCGGCTTCCCGCTGACGCCCGAGCCCGCCGCCCTCCTGGCCGTGCCCGGCGCCCGGCGCGAGGTCTTCGAGAGCACGTCCTTCCAGGGCAAGGAGCAGGCGGCAGGGCCATCGCCCGCGGCGCCGCACCTGCTGCACCACCATCACCACCACGCGCCCCTCGCCCACTTCGCCGGCGACCTGGTACCCGCCAGCCTGCCCTGCGAGGAGCTGGCCGAGCCCGGCCTCGTGCCCGCCGCCGCCGCGCGCTACGCGCTGCGCGAGATCGAAATCCCGCTGGGGGAGCTGTTCGCCCGCAAGTCCGTGGCCTCCTCGGCTTGCTCGACGCCGCCGCCGGGGCCGGGCCCCGGGCCCGCCTCCGCCTCCCCCGCGTCCCCCTCGCCCGCGGATGTGGCTTACGAGGAGGGCCTGGCGCGCCTCAAGATCCGTGCGCTGGAGAAGCTGGAGGTGGACCGGCGGCTGGAGCGGCTGAGCGAGGAGGTGGAGCAGAAGATCGCAGGCCAGGTGGGTCGGCTGCAGGCCGAGCTGGAACGCAAGGCGGCCGAGCTGGAGACGGCGCGACAGGAGAGCGCGCGGCTGGGGCGCGAGAAGGAGGAGCTGGAGGAGCGCGCTTCCGAGCTCTCGCGCCAGGTGGACGTGAGCGTGGAGCTGCTCGCCTCGCTCAAGCAGGACCTGGTGCACAAGGAACAGGAGCTGAGCCGCAAGCAGCAGTGAGTGGCCCGCAGGGCCCTGTGGGCGGGTGTGCCCGTGAGTGTTCCTGACTGGGTGACCGTGTGTGTCACTGCCGCCGCCACCACCGCGAGTGGGCCTGAGTGTGTGTGTGTGTGTGTGTGTGTGTGTGTGTGGCCTTGGCTTTGTAATATGGCATCGATGGTTACCGGCCATAGATGGTGTGCGAGGGGGCGAGAGGGCCATGACAGTATGTGTTCGGGACTCTGAGTACACGCAAGTGTGACCAAGGGCCTGCTGTGAAAACTGTTTCTCTCCCTTGTCTGTCTCTCTAGTGAAGGCCAGCGCCTGCATGGTGGCACCAGACCCTCTTTTGCCTACTCAAAGCCATGACACCATTCTGCTGTCTCCCTTTGCCATCACCAGACTTTCCTTGTCAACTGTCTCTTTCCTAAAAGCATCCAGACCTAAGGTCACTACTCCCACCTGCTGTAACCCCAGTACCCCCTTAGGCTACAGCCCCTTTTCTCTCCTTCCAGAACAACTCCTTGAAAGCATTGCTTTTCCTCCTTGTCTCCAGTTTCCTTCCCCACTTTCTGTGTTGAATGAACTCTGATCAGATGTCTACCTCCACCACTGCCCTTCATGTCACCAATGACCTTCCTGTTGCCAAGGCCCACTGGTCATCATCTCAGCCTCTCAGCCGTATTGACACAGTGGTCCTTGAAACCCTTTTTTCACTTGGTGTCCAAGATACTCTCCTGGAATTGCCTTCTTTTTTCTTCCCCCCTGTCTGCTCCTTCTCGGTTTTCTTTACTGGCTTCTCCTTATTTCCCTGGTCTTTAAATGTAGAATTTCGACATAGATGCATGTTATCTGTCCCCATTGTGACATAAGCTCCACGGAGGCAGGAATTCTTTTCATGCTTGTCCTCTGCTGTGTCCCTGATACAGTGCCAGACACCTAGAAGGTGCCCAGTAAATGTTGAGTAGATCCATGACCGACTGTGAATCCTCAAGTGACTCTGAAGTATGCTGTGTGTACATGCACTTCCCGGAGTCTTCTGCGTCTGAGAATGTTTCAGAAATGTGTGTGTGTGTGTGTGTGTTGGAATGTGTCTTTGGGACTGTGCCTGTCTCAGACTGCGTGTGTGCCTGCAAGTGAACATGACACGAGCAGATGTACATGAGTGTGTGTGGCTGTGTGCCCATGAGTGTTCTGGAGGGAGGAGGTGGCTCTGAGTGTGACTGAGTATGACTATTTCAGTGGGGAGGAGGGATGTCTGGCAGGAGTGTCGGGACCGGGTCGGGGGGTGTGCGCGTGTGACTTTGAGCATACGCTTGCATTTCTATGCACGCCTTCATATGGGGCATCGCGCCTGGGCCTGTTCCACAGGCACCCACGGGACCACGGGCAGCTGTGCCCGTGTCTCGCCCCATTGCTCCAGAGGGTGGCGGGTGGGCGGCCAGCCGAGGCACGGGGGTGAGAGACTGCTCCGGGCCCAGGGAGGTGGTACAGATCGACCAGTTCCTGAAGGAGACGGCGGCGCGGGAGGCCAGCGCCAAGCTGCGGCTGCAGCAGTTCATCGAGGAGCTGCTCGAGCGGGCGGACCGGGCCGAGCGGCAGCTGCAGGTCATCAGCAGCAGCTGTGGCAGCACACCCAGCGCCAGCCTGGGCCGCGGCAGCGGCGGAGGCGGTGCCGCGCCTGGTCCCCGGGGTCCCGGCAGAATGGTGAGTGCCCACCTGCCTTCTCAACTCCTCCTGCACCCCTGCCCCGTATGGCCTGCCTCAAACACTGGCTGGCCTCCCCCTGTCATGCTCCATGCTTCCCTCCTTTGGCTCTTCCCCACGAGCAGACTCGAGGCCTGAAGTAGGGGTCCCTCTGACTGGACAGAAGTGATGGCCCCTGAGGCTGCGATCCAGTGAGGTGTGATGCAGCCGTTCCGGTTCTCAGGGGCCCACCTCTGCCCAAATGAGAGCCCAGGAGCCACAAGTTGGGGTCTGGGCTGCTGGGTGGGTGTGGGGAGGAGGCTGGTGAGCCTGCCTCTCTGGGCTGTCTGTCTGTCTATTTGACCATCTTTCCCAACTTTTTTCCTTCTCTCTCCTCTCCCTCCTCTGTTCTCTCCGTCTTGTGCCCTGTTTCTCCCGCTCCTTCTCACCCTTTTGCCTCCTCTGCCCCCTGCCTCTCCCTCCCACTCTGGGGGCCCACAGCGAGAACACCACGCAGGCCCGGCCGTGCCTAGCACATACGCCGTGTCAAGGCACGGCTCCTCTCCCAGCACAGGGTAAGCCTCGGGCCTGGCCCGCCCCACACAGCCCACCCTCACCCTGGAAGGATCCACTGGCCCATTGGATGGCTGGCCCTTCTGGGGCCTTGGCTCCTTCTCCTTTCCCCATACTCCTTGGGTCACCTCTGTCTGCCTTTCCACACTCTTGGAAGGGGCTCTTGGAAAGTAGGGGGAGTGGGTTACCCTTGGCCGGTGGTACGGGTGGCATGGGGAGTTCGGGCAGGTGCCCCTCACCCCTCACCGTCTGGTCCACCCCACCCCAGGGCCTCCAGCCGTGTCCCCGCTGCATCCCAGAGCTCAGGCTGCTATGACAGTGACAGTCTGGAGCTACCCCGGCCAGAAGAGGGGGCCCCCGAGGACAGTGGCCCTGGGGGCTTGAGCACACGGGCCCAGGCTGCCAACGGCGGCTCGGAGCGCACCCAGCCCCCTCGCAGCTCAGGCCTGCGGCGCCAGGCCATCCAGAACTGGCAGCGCAGACCCCGCCGACACAGCACGGAGGGGGAGGAGGGTGATGTCTCGGACGTGGGCTCCCGAACCACGGAGTCAGAGGCTGAGGGCCCCTCAGATGCCCCCCGCTCTGGGCCTGCTATGGCCGGGCCACTGAGCAGCTGCCGGCTCTCAGGTGAGTCCTGGGGAGGGTAGGCCAGAGAGGCCAGTCTTTCCTTGGTACTGGACCCTCTCAGGGGACACAGGGCTGAGGCGGTACATCTCTTGGGCTCCCACACCTGTTTTCCCCCGTCCCAGACTTCCCACAGTGAGAATGACAGATTTTCCTACAAGTGCCCTGTGAGCCTGGGCAAGGAACTCACGTGACAGAGCAGGGCTGCAGCACAGGGGTGGGCACCGCACAAGGATGCCACATCTCAAGCGTCCGTTCATGTCGTGGGCTCGTTGACATTTACAGGAGAGTAGTTGAATCTTATCTGCAGACTGAAGTCCTGGAGCAGCAAGGAGAACCCCCTTCTGTATATGGACAAGGCCATGTGCATATGTGGGTGGGTCAGGGTCAGGAGGTTAGAGGGCTGAGATCAGGTACATGACTGCTGTAGAGTGACTGCTCTGGGCAGCCTTGCCCTGGGTTTCTAACCATCTGTACCCTCACCCTCCAAACCCTTGTCCACTCTTGACTCAGTCGCTTCATCTATGAGGTGAGTTTGGACTGTGTGATGATCTATGATCTTAAAAAGTCAGTTTGCTTGAGGAAGGGTCACCTTTTTCTAATTTGTATAGAGATAGGGTACTGCAGAGGAGGGGGAAGCAGAGGCCCCTTGTCCTTCTTCCCAAAGTCACTGGCCCTGCAGCATGAGTCTCTCATGACTATTCCTTCTGCAGCTCCTAGCCCACCCCACCTCCCCGCCCGCACCCCCTCACTGGCCTTTGACCCTCTACACTGACCTTTGACCCTCTGGTACTGTGCAGCCCGCCCCGAGGGAGGCAGTGGGCGGGGTCGGCGAGCTGAGAGGGGCAGCCCCTCGCGCTCCAACGAGGTCATCAGCCCAGAGATCCTCAAGATGCGAGCCGCCCTGTTCTGCATCTTCACCTACCTGGACACACGCACGCTGCTGCATGCTGCCGAGGTCTGCCGGGACTGGCGCTTCGTGGCTCGCCACCCTGCGGTCTGGACACGGGTGCTGCTGGAGAATGCCCGCGTCTGTTCCAAGGTGCCTGTCCCCGTCCACCGCCCCCAGTGTGAACCCACCTTTCTCCCAGTGGAATCTGGCCCCTCAGGTCCTGGTCCTTGCAACCCTTACAACACCCTGGCTTCAGCCTGACTCCAAATGCTCTCATGGGGCCTCCTGTCTTGAGGCTGGTCTGCCTCTAGCCAACCCAGCACAGACCCACTCATCCCCCTGTGACCCTTGTCTCTCTGCAGTTCCTGGCGATGCTGGCACAGTGGTGCACCCAGGCCCACTCGCTGACGCTGCAGAACCTGAAGCCCCGGCAGCGGGGCAAGAAAGAGAGCAAGGAAGAGTATGCCCGGAGCACCCGGTGAGGCCCTGGCGTGTGGGCGGGTGGGTGTTGCAGGCTGCAAGCCGAGAATTCCATGGGGGATGCCTCCCAGAGGAGGAGGTGGCCACGGGCAGTGCCCTGACCTCCTGGCCATCCCCAGGGGCTGCCTGGAAGCAGGGCTGGAGTCCCTGTTGAAGGCAGCCGGGGGGAACCTGCTGATCCTGCGCATCTCCCACTGTCCCAACATCCTCACTGACCGCTCGCTCTGGCTGGCCAGCTGCTACTGCCGTGCCCTGCAGGCCGTCACCTACAGGTGGGTGCACACCACCAGACTCAAGGGCCGTACGCTCTTGGCCTTGAGCCAAAGGGATCCCTGGGGTCTGCATACTCTTACCCCAGGGGTCTCAGGCAAAGGGACTCAAGAGTTCTGTGGCCCAAGGGAAGGGAGCAAAGGCCTTCATCAGGGTGGGTGGTGCCAGCTTTGTCTTTTCAACAGGAGTGCCACAGACCCCGTGGGCCACGAGGTCATTTGGGCTCTGGGTGCAGGCTGCAGAGAGATTGTCTCCCTCCAGGTGGCGCCACTTCACCCTTGGTGAGCCCTGGCAGGGGTCAGGTGGGGACAGGGTGGGGCTGGGGCTGGGGCTGAGGACTGAGCAGATCTGAGCCATTCCAGAAGCTGACAGGGGAGACAGATTCGCATGCGTGAGTCACTGTAAGTAGGTGTTAGGAGCGGGGGCTTCCAAGTCAGACATGGGGTGATGCCCGGGCTTACTGGCAGTGAGATTCTGGGCAATCCAGCCGTGCCTTCGTTTCTCAAGTGCAGAGTGAAGGTGGCGGTAATAGAGGTCTTTCAGCCTTGGGAGGACTGTAGCTGGCTCCAGTGAGATGTGCACACGGAGCCTACAGGGGCCACAGTAGGTGTTCAGGCAACACTAGCTAGAAATAGCCACGTTTGTTTGGCACATGAAAGCCTGGTCAAGGGAGGTCAATGTGTAACACACAAAAGAGCTGGTTGCTGGAGAATCCAGATCATTTACCGCTCTACTTGGGGTTCCTAAGACCAGGCTTTTTTGTCCCCACGCTTTGTCCTCCAAGCCCTCTCTCCACAGGACAGCTCCTCCCAGGGCATCCAGTGTCCTTCGCGAACACCTGGCAGAACTTGGCACAGCTCCCCGGCCTCCATTCCTCCTGCGCCCTGTCCCGGCCCCTGCTGTCATGTGCTTTGCAATAATTTCTCTCTATTCCAGTCCACGCTGTACCCGCAGTCTCAGGGTAGGGGCTGTAAATGCCCATTTCCATATCTCTGGTTCCAGAGAACCTGCTGCCGGGGCGAATGTTGAGCACTTCCTTGACGAAGTGCTCAGGGAAATAGCAAGTTTGGTGAGGCTGGTGGGCAGAGGGGAGCAATGAGTGTGGAAAGGGAGGTTGGGGCAAGGTTAGGCAGATCTTGCCTAAGGGGTTTAGAGTTGTGTTTTATCTGGAAAGTGCTTGGGAAGTCATTGGGGTATTTTAGATCTTAAAAACAGGATTGTATCAGACTAGTTACGTTCTGTGTCCCCGCCCCCCCACTCCTTGAGGGCAGGGACTGTGTCTGTATTGTCACTGATGTATCCGCAGGGCCTGGTTCAGTTGTTCTGAACTGTAGTAGACACTTGAGGCCCCTTTGTTGAATGACTGAGTGAGAGAATGTAGGAATGAATGGCTCACTGTCAATAGTGTGTAGGATTCTTCTAGATGAATCCAGATGAATATGGATGGTGGCCTGAACTGCAAGGTAGAAGCGTTATCCAGGAATCAGGATCTGTAGGTCTTGGCAGGAGGTGAGGGAGGAAGAGTCAGGGATGATTCCAGGTTTCTAACTAGAGCAGCTGGGTGGTTGGCAGTGCCCCAGCCTGAGGCAGCACATGAAAGAGGAGAGGGCTTGGGATGTCATGCGACCAGAAGCTTCCTTGACAGCCCCCTCTCTGCCCCATTCTCCAGCCAGCAGCCCACGCGCTTCAGTAACCGCTGCCTGCAGATGATCGGTCGCTGTTGGCCCCACCTTCGGGCCCTGGGGGTTGGGGGCGCTGGCTGTGGGGTGCAGGGCCTGGCATCACTCGGTGAGTCCTTCCTCGGGACTGGGGTGGAGGGTGGTGGGAAGCAGGTATGGGTGCAACACTGAAATCCCAGAAGGGTTTGGGGCTGCAGCCTGGGTGGTGGCAGGAGCACCAAGACACTGGGCGGGAGGCGACCTGGGGAGTTTGTCAGCGGGACCTCCCCTCTTCCTCCCTCTTCCTAGCAAGAAACTGCATGCGGCTGCAGGTCCTGGAGCTGGACCACGTATCGGAGATCACCCAGGAGGTGGCAGCTGAGGTCTGCCGGGAAGGCCTGAAGGGACTGGAGATGTTGGTGCTCACGGCCACCCCGGTCACCCCCAAGGCCCTGCTGCATTTCAACAGTGAGCGATGGGAATGCAGGAGGGGGCTGCCACTGACACCGCTTACCGCGCCATGTCAGCAAGTAGCAGAGCCGCTCCCTGTCGTTCCTAGTCAGCAAGCCCCAGCACTGGGGGCAGACCAGCTGGGGTGCTAATCCTAGCTTTGCTACCAGTGCCTTCCGAGGCCAGTGTGGCATCGAAGGCTTGCTGCCATCTGGTACACGTGGTTCGGTTCAACATTTATTGCCCTGTGCTCTACGTACGTTGGAGACACGAGCCGTACAATGCCGTCTGCCCCACGCGAGCCTCTGGCCAATGGCAGAGGCAGAACAGATAGGTTAGGGGCACAGGTTCTAGAGGTGGACTGACCTGGGTCCCAGTTTTGGCTCTACTTATTGGCTTATTTAGCTGTGTGACCGGGCAAGTTACTAGATGTCTCTGGATTCTGTATCCCCTTTCTTCTCAGCTGACTCTCTGGAGTAGGGAGGAGCATTAGGACCATTTTCAGGGTAAAGACTCCTCTTTTCAAGGTGTAGACTCCATGCCTCCTCTGACCTCACCTCCCTTTAGCCACCTACTCCACTCCTGGCCACTCCTCCACCTTGACCAAGGGCATGGGTGTCCAGCTCAGGCTGCTTACACTCCTTCAGGGCAGGGGCTTGGACAGAAGACCCCCACTCCCCCCCGCTCCCCCACAACTGGAGCAGCCTTCTGGGCACAGCCAGCACAGCTGAGTCACCACCGGCACCCGGTGTCGTCGCCCCGAGGACCTGCAGTAGGCACTGCGTGGCTCCTCGGCTGCTCAGGCTGCAGGCCTCCCCTTCCTGAGGCCCTGGTCACACCTACACCCTGACTAATATTTCCAGGAAGCCTCCTTGACTTAAATATTTCCAGGATCCTCTTCTTCCTTCCCATCAGCCTCATGGCCTGGCTCTCGACTGACCACCAGAACTGCTCAGCCTCCAAAATCATGACTTCCAGAACCTTCTCAGCCTCCTGATTTTCTTCCTCCTCCACTGACTTCATGGCAACATCTAGCCCCTTAAGCCCTCTGCTCCCAACTTGTTTGCTGCCTGTCCCCTCCTCCATGCCCCAGAGAAGAGCCATCAGCCTCACCTTAGCTACTCTGTCCTTTTAATTCATTTCTAGGTGCCCAGGCCATGGCACAGCTGTCCCCTCTGCCAGGGAAGCTCCAAGAGCCCCTGCACAGTTGGCTGCTGCCCACTCATCCTCCCAGAGTCCACTGCAGCCTCTGCTCTGTGACCTTGCCCTCCTCCTCCCGCCCTGCACCCCCATGCGGTTGATCCCCTGGGTGCCACCGGTGTGCTCTCCTCTAGGTGGTTCCCAGTGCCTGGCACATGACTGTCTGTAGGGTTCTGATCTCATGAATTAGTGACAGAGGAGCAGCCCCACTGTCCAGGCCACACATGAGCCTCACCTTATTACCTACCTTTTCCCAGGCATTTGCCGGAACCTCAAGTCCATCGTGGTCCAAATTGGGATTGCTGATTATTTCAAAGAGCCCAGCAGTCCTGAGGCCCAGAAGCTGTTTGAGGACATGGTGACAAAACTCCAGGTGAGGAATTGGCTGTTAGGCCAACCAAAACCCCAGGTGGCATCTCTAGGCTGGGGTTGGTGATCTGGGTGTGTGATGAGAGGGCCCCACTTGCCTCGACCTGAGGGGAACTAAACCAGGGTTCGGTCTACAGGCCCTACGACGAAGGCCCGGCTTCTCTAAGATCCTGCACATCAAGGTGGACGGCAGCTGCTAACCCGGGGTGGGGGGCGGCAGGGCCCCTGCCAGCCCCACACCAGGGCACTCTCTTTGGACCTCCAGAGGGACCCTGATTTGGACTCGACCTTCAGAGGCCTAGTGTTATCCCTGGCTTCCAGGGAGGGGTTGATGGTTTCCTGTCCTCCTCCTGGGACAGCGGAGCGACGGGCCTGACGTCGGGCACTGGCTCTTCAGGGCAGGGGCTTGGACAGAAACTGCCCTCCGACCCCCACTCCACCCCCAACTGGAGCAGCCTTCTGGGCACAGCCAGGAAGGAGCTGAGTCACCACCAGCACCAGGTGTCATCGCCCCGAGGACCTGCCGTAATCACTGAGTGGCTCCTCGGCTGCTTGGGCTGCTGGGGCAGGCCTCTCCTTGTCAGGGGCCTCTGTGAGTCCCCAGGCCAGATGGGGCTCCCCAAAGCAGCTCAGACTTGGCAAGAAAGGCTCTTTTCTTCCCCCTGCCCTGTTCCAGCCCTCTGTGGGGCACCCCCTTCAGACAGCCTGCCGAGGCTCTGGGTCCACATTCTCCGGGGATAACACAAACAGGCCTGGGGTCTAGAAATGTGGTCAGCCAAAAGTGGGGGGCGGGGTGCAGTGAGGTAGTGGAATGGGCTTGGAATGGCAAAACATTCATCTTGAACTTTTCCCCAGGATATTGAAACCACCACTCCCAAAGTGGGGAAATTGCCAAGTAGAGAAAACTTAGTTTTTATCGCTAGAAACAACAAGACCCCTTCTCCCGACAACCACATACCCCACGACACACCAGAGCTAAATTCAGAGCTAAAAGGTGCATGTTTCTATACCTTCCACCAATCCTGAGCCTCTGGAGGGGCAAGGAACCAGCTCTGGGAGACAGCAGCAGTGAGCAGTTCCTGTCCTCAAGAAACGTCCTTGTATTCCAGGTGCTTGGGCAGGAATCTAACGGCCTCCGGGTCCCCAGTGCTGTGGTGGGAGGGAGTCACTGGACTGCCTTCTGTCTGGAGGAGGCCAGGAGGGTGGTTTGGTTTGCTTCCTTGTCCGGCTAGCTTGCTTGGAGATGTAGCCTTGGTAGGGAACCAGACCCTTGAGGCCAAGGGCAAGGAAGAGCACCCCCATCAGACTTGCCTCCCTCCCCAGTCTCCACTGGCCCCATGGGCTGTGGGCTTTGCTGGAGTTCTTTAGCCCAGGGGCAGTGCTGGGGCCTGAGCCACGGCCACTTGGCTTAGAAGCCACAGAATGCAAGTGGGTTTTCACAGACTAGCACGGTTCTGGCAAGACCAGGTTCTGGCACTAAGGCTCCAAAGACTCAGGTCTCCCCAGTTCCTCCTCTCAGAAGCCTCTCAGTGGTGTAGAGGCCACGGGTCCTGCCAACATTCATTTGGAAAGTTCTTTCAGACATTAACCTCGACCCATCTTAAGAGTTTCCTTCTCTCCTATACAGGACCCAGCTCTGCCCTAACCACTAGGCTGCTGGTCCTGGCTGGGGCTGGGCTTCTCTGGTTTCTCAGCCCTTTGCAGGGACCCAACTTTCTGCCACAGCCTGGCTTAGACATCAAGACCCAGCCCTGGGTTACCCTGTAATGAGTCCTCCAGAGCTGGGACCCCACAGGCTCAGTACCCAGCTAGCTCCCCTGGCTCCACACGCAGCTCTGTCCCAGCTCTGGTTGATGACTTTTCTTCCAGTGGCTTATTCTGGCCTTGCCCTTTGAAGACCCCAAATACCAAGGGTGTCATGTTGGCAATTCCCTGTCCAGTCCTGCATGAAGCCTTGGCTGTGTGGCATCCCCAACTCCAGAGCAGCTGGCTCCACTGGCTTCCCACCTCCCCAGCCTTGTCCCCAGGAGTCACAGGAAGAAGCACAACTTTTCTCTGTCCTCCAGGAGCCTGGGAGGGATATGGGGGTGCCATGGGTACATCTGTCCTGCCTTGCCATCTTCACCCTTTATAACTCCTGCTTGAGACCCTAGGACCAGAGGTGCTGCCCGTCCACTCCAACCCCCACCACCCCCCAGTCTCCTGGACAAAGCACAAAGGGATGCCCTGCTTGGCCTGAGCCTGCCTTACTGAGGGACTTTTCTGCCCCAGGAAGCTTCCATCCCTGAACACAAGGTGGGCAGCCATTGGAATGCCGGGAAAGGAGGTCAGGGTGCATGAGCAGGGAGCTAGAGTGGGAGACCGTGCTGAAAGGACTGCTTCCAGGAACAGGTTCATTCACCCACTCCACCCACCCATCCCCCCATCCTTGCAGCCCTGAGCACCACCAGCACTGGGGGCAGAAGAGTGAACAGGGCCCCCTTCTGGCTGGCAGGAAGTTTGGCCAGCAAGTCCCCACCTGGTATTTGCCAGCCTGAGTGTGTGTGTAAAGGATGTGTAAGAGTACACACTGCATGGGCCCCTGCCCATGGGAATGCTGGGTCACAGCGTGTCCCACTGCACAGCTGTCCTCGGGGCTGACCGCCTCCTGCACGCTGGACCTCATGCGTGCTGAGAACTGGGAAGTTGCAGGCCCCTTGTCCCCCAACTGGAAGCTCTTTTTTGACTCTCCGTGGGATGAGCCCTGCTGCTGTGTGGGGAGCTTGTCTGCAGGGTTCCACGTGTTTGCCTCCTTGGCAACCACACAGCATGGCTGTGCATGGAAACCAGGAATGGAGGGTCTGGCCATCCCTGAGGCACCTTATCCCTCGCTCATTGAAAAGAGAATCCTCCTCCATCTTACACCTAGTAAGATGCAAAGGAGAGGGCAAATCAAGGCAGGCTCCAAGGGTCCTGGCATGTGTAGAGGTCCCATGGGCCCCAGCACTTGGTGTCCCTACCACCTCTCCTTGTTATAGCCTGCAGCCAGCATCTGGGAGGCTGATTTAGCTGGGGTATTTCATCAGGCTTGCTTTGGGCTCCCTCCCCATGGCACCAGCAGGGGACAAAGGAGATGCTTCTATGTTTGACACCCCCGCCCCCCAAGGGAGAGGAAATGTGCTGCCCAGAACCATGGCTTTTCAATGCCTGAGAAACCACCTAAGGAACAAGGCAGTCCAGGGTTTGTTTCCTGGTCCTGTGAGTGGTTCGAGTCAGCCTCTCAAGAAGAGCTTCGAAAACAACAAAACCACCTCCTTCCCAACGCCTGTTGTTCCAAGGTTTGGCTCCATCCTTTCCTTTGGGTTCTGCTTGTTCCCCTGGTCTTTGGGCCGTGGGCGGGAAGGTGCCCAGCCCCTAAGTCCCTCTAAGGCACTAAGCTGAAGACATTCCCAGGGTGAGACTACTGGTGCCAAAGACCCAATTCCTGGTGGACTTGGGTTGAAGACAGGGGAGATGGTGAGCGGGTACGGAGCCCACATGCCCAGAGGAGTGGACTCAAACTGATGGGATCTGCCTAGCCTATTAGTCCTTGAGGAGTGGAATTCCCTCCCCCAGGGGCCTGGTACTTCTCTTTAACCCTGGTGGTCACGCTTTCTCACCCAGCCTTGTTCCAGGCCTGCGTTTCTGTATATACTGCTGTGTATCGTGTGTATGTATTTATTCCTGGACAAGTGTATTCATCTGCAGCCTTTTTGCCTGAGGATAAGGTTTAGGATTGGGTGAAGACCAGAATACCAGGGCCGACTGAGGCAACCAGCTCCTAGTTCTTTCCCAACCTCCTGGGACCCCGGTCAGTCCCAAGACTGCCCTGACAATCAGGCAGGCTTCCCCACCATGAGCCCAAGCCGGGTCTGCCACTGCTGGCACGGCTCCAGGAGGCTTGGCCTTGGGCTCCCTGGCCTCACCTCTGCCCTAGCAGGGGTCCTGCATTCAGGTGCAGAGGCCTGTGGTGACCTAGGCTTGCCTCATGACTGGCACCGGTAGGCTTGGCTCTAGTGGGCACCGCTAGCGGGGACCTCCACAGGTGGCCCCCAGGCCTGCCTTCCACGCACAGCCAGGCTATGTGATGTGCCTGAGCCGTGAGAGGGTAGCTCCCCCCACCCCAAGCAAATCAGGTGGAGGGGTGGAGAGCATTTTTTGGTTTTGTTTCTGAAGTGGTGCCTGTACCTCCAGCCCCCAGGGGGCCTTCCCTGGCCCCACTTCTCTGCCCCGCCCAGGCATCACCATCCCAGCACTTTGCTCCACGTCACCCACAGATGCCCTGTGCCGAATGTACCTGAGTGTTATGTATTTAAAGGACTCACATGGGCATCAGAGAACTTATGACTTTGTATCCAATAAAAGGTGGTGAAACTGGAATATCTGCCAGGGAAGTAAATGGCAGGTGGCCGTTTGTGTCCGTCTGTGTCACCAAGCCTTTCTGCAGCTAAATTGCACTGAGGCAGGAAGTGGCTGGATGACCTGAATGGCATCGAAAAGAGTGAATAAAGCATTAGGAAGACCTGTCAGGACTGCAGACACTGCTGAAAGCCATGCAGGTTACTATCCTTCTCCCAGCTCACTCTCTTTCAGTGTCTGCACGCAGACAAAAAACTTCAGGGTTTTTGACTCAGCTGGAAGAGGCCATCTTTAAGGACAACTGGAGCACCAGGCACTGTCTAGTCCCTCAACGGCTTGGCCATCCTCTGCTGGAAGTTCTAGCAAGCCAGTAAGGCTTTAGCCTGGGAGAGGCCAAATTGCCCTTCACTGGCTTCGACTACCATTCTGCAAAATGAGGTTGCCCCACTGAGCATTACTCAGGTCTTGAAAGATTTAAAGTCAAAAAGACCAGGTGCTTCGGCTTAAACCATGAGTGGCTCTAGCATCAAACAAGTAGATGAGCCTTTATACCCATAACTCTGAGCCAGCTATTTTTATGTTCCTAACAAAGAGAGCAGCAGCTGAGGCTCAGAAAAATTAGTTTACCCAGGGACTAACAAGTTAGAAGGGAGGCCAGATCCATAGTCTGGACCTGCTCACCACCCCACCCTGCGTTTGATTCCATCTAACCAAGAGGGGATCAGACTCAAGGGACTTTCTTTTTAAATCACCTCCCAGTTTCAGGCAGCAAAAGCTTCCATGGCTCAGTGACACAGTCTGACATAGTCACTCACCTCTAGCTTCAACAGTCCCTGACTATACAGCTAGCTGCAGGCCAGCTCTCAGGACTAGCATGAACGAGAAGGCAGGCAGACCTTGCTGATTTCCAGTTTATCTGGTGGTCATTCCAAACCTCCCCTGGTTAGAAGAAAGCAAAAGGAACCCCCAAGACCACTGGTGGTGGATCTGAGAAGACCATGTAGGTGCCCCGAGGCCACCTCTCCTCACTACAGAATTTAAAGGGAAGTGGCCTCTCTATACATTCCTCCAAGAGCCCTCAACCCTGAGATCTTGAGTAAGAGAGACCAGAACACTGAGTCAGAGTATGGAAGTGGAAGGAGCAAGCAAGGTAATAGAATACACTTCTTCAAACCACAGACCTCCTCGGAGCACTGCCTGGCTAAGGCCAGGGCTAACCAAGATGATGACAGAAAAAAAGGGAGGGCCTCCACACCCCCAAACCACCACTGGGACTAAGAGAGCAATCAAAGTGAAACTTCTGGACGGAGGTCCCTCAAGCAAGCTCTCTGCTGGCAGAGTGGACCCACTCTCTGCCTTAACGTCCAGAAGCTGTTGAGGACTCAGTCCAACAGGAAAGAAGAAAATTTTTTCCATCTGTCAGGTGAGTATGTACAAAAGTAAAATCCTGAGCCAGAGTCAAGACATTTATCAGTAAAAGTCCTGTGCCCAAATAATTTGCAAAGTGAATTCTAAGCCTCAAGTTTTATTTAAATAACCTCCGTGAGAACAGATTGGGCCAGTTCTGACCCCTTCCTTGTAATACCAACTAACCCAGACAGGGAGAGTGAGCATACCCTGCAGCCAGCCCACCAGCCACTCGTGTGAGGGGTGGGGTGCCTCTTAGTGGGGGCGGCCCCGGCCCCGGCCCCGGCCCGCAGCTGGAGGAGCGTCCACTGTTGAGCGAGGGTTTTTGATAGTTTCATCTACCGACACGATAAGGCAGGCAGCCTCAGAGGCTGCAGTCAGGGCGTTGATGCGCACCATAGCCGGCTCCCACACGAAGGCATCAAAGTTGTCAGCAATGTCCTCGTTGTTGATGTCCACTCCGTACCACATGCCCCCCTGAAAGAGCAGGAAAAGAGGGGAAGTAATAAGGAACTTCTCTCAAGTTTCTTCTTCCGTATCCTCCCAAAGACTCAAGATCATTAGGAAACCTCATATTCTGAACTTGCCAGCGTTTCCCTGAGGAAAAAGGCATCACACAAAGAACCTGTAAGTGCACGTCTTCTCTTCCCACCCGTGCCCCTAACGACCACCCGCTTCAAACCCTAGACACGCTGCTCACACAAAAGCTCTGGGCCCTCTTCCAGGCAACATGCCATATTTTGCAGAGGCCCAGTCCTCAAGTCACTCAAGGACTGAGTATATCATACCACGGTTCTCAAGAGGAACACTTTCCCATCCCTTATCTCACTGCTTCCATCAGTCCCAACTTCAGATGATGGAAGAAGTGAAGGGACAGTCTTAAAATCCCAACACAAATCAGAAGCAACATCACTGAATGCTGCTGTCATAGTACTGAGCACGTAACAAATATCTCTAACAAATGCTTGCTAAATAGCAAATGAACACATTTAAGTTGTCAGAGAGATCACAAGTTAAGAGATGGTAGTGCTATGGCTGGACCACCCGGCAGCAGGGTCCCCCCGGTTCCTCTGATGGCACCATAAGGAGCTATGATTATACTCTCGGTAGCACTGAAGAAACTCTGGAGACTCCAGTCCTGGCACCGTGGCCTTCCCTCTGCCCTCAGAGGTGGCACAGTTGAGTCGGTACTGGGTTTAGTTGCAGCCCTGTTACTGGGCCTGAGCACTATATGGAGCTTGAGTAAGCACAGCACTCGCTCAAAATTTAGCCCCATGCACCCAATCCCGGACTCAAGGAGAAGGACCCACCTGGGCATGCCGAGCTCGCAGCTTGTTGAGGATGTTTGTGGCATCAAAGCCAGCATTGTCACACAGCTGGCGTGGGATAATTTCCAAGGCCTTGGCGTATGCCCCAATTAACAGCTGCTGTTTTCCTGGAACGGTCCTCGAGTAATCCCGCAGGTACTTGGAGAGCTCCATCTCAATGGCCCCGCCACCAGCCACCACTGAATCGTTCTGCAGAGACCAGATCCGCCTCTTAATGCTAACAGGCCCGTGGTTCAAGGTCCAGCTACAGCCCATCTGGACCAGCCACACCACAGGAAGCCTAGCTGTGGCTATTGTCTAGCACACTCCAACTTCAGTCTGGTGAACCTTACGGTTTCTGACCATCTCCAAGGTCACCTTGTAGCTTGAGGACACCGGTACAATCACTGGGATGGCTGAGGGCAGTAGCTCCACTGTCTGCTCATGAGAACAAGTCTTAGGTCTTAGGCTTTAAGGCAGGATGACCTATTTTGAGAGACTGAGACTGTTTCTCTATGATTTGTAAGGCAAATCAGGGCTAACCAGCCACCCAGGGAAGCTTATATATGATAGATTTCACCACACAGATCCAGGAACCCCCCAGCCTAGTACCTTGATGGCCCTCCTGACAATCATGATAGCGTCGTGCAGGGACCGCTCCGTCTCCTCCATAAACTGCTCAGCACCACCACGGAGGATGATAGTGCAAGTCTTAGCCTTGGGACAGCCAGTGAAGAAATTGTACCTACACCCAGGATCAAATCATACATGTGAACTTCTTTCTGCTGCCAACCTGCTGTGTCTGACCTCACCATGTTTCCCCAACACTCAGCAGCTGCTCTTTTGTTCCTCACTAGATTTTCCAATCCTATTCCTTGAAGAGT